AGTTTTAAGGAATGTCTAATAATGAGAAATACTTATAAGTAGTTATCTGAAGCATCAAGATTTTTGGTACGTTTTTACTTCAGTTGGTTGCTGAAACTACTTTACATTTCTCTTGTCAATCCTATCATGGGTGCATTTGGTTTTATTGTCAAGACAGTTGTAAAGAACTGCTTGCAAGAATTTTATAAAACTTACTTATAACGTAACTTTGTCAATATAAATAACTTTTGGAGGAAATTATTGTAGATAACTTTACCAATAATCAAAATGTAAACAAATGCACATGCTTACACTGTTTCAGGACGTGTTACTGTCAAACTGGTCAAATTTCTGTTTGTTTCAGAAATAATATCATAGTAATCAAACTAAAAAGCGGAAGAAAAATATAGTAAGGACATGACACATATAAACATAGTGAATTCAGAGAAACAGATATTGGAAATTGATTTATATGTGTATATGACAGTTGCTTTAAGATGCTTTATATTTTCGAAATGACTTTTAATTGCAAATTACGTAAGTCATTACAATTAAATGATTGAGTAAAAGATCCATAACAGTATCAACAGTGGACAACTCACAGTTTAAAACAATTATATAAGTATGACGATCTTAGGCTACTGTATCAAACACTACTAAGTTGTCGTAAGTGCTGTCCATATATTAGTCATTAAAGTATTTTGGGCTACCAGTGGCGAGTAAAATTTGTATACAGTTTACACATGTACTAAACATATTGGCTTCCGCCCGCTTCAAATAGTTATATTGACTGAATTAATACTGTGAAGCAGGAATCAGAGTAATTATGCATAGAAACACCATCAGTCAATGAGGCCGATAATTCTGAACCTTAGGCGTACAAGAAATAGGGTCTTCTGGGTGGAAGTTTCTGAACATTAGGTATCACTAACTGAATGTGCTAACTGATATCTCCGAATATTTCTTCAATAGTATACACATATTTATTTCACATCATCTATTAGATTTTTGTTATAACCTTTCAGATCAAAACGAAGACATCGAAGCTAAAAAGTGTCTTTTTCAGATATTTTTGAGGTAGACGATGATGTCACACGGGTCCTTGATATTAGCTTAAAGTGAATTAATGAATAACTGCTATTTATCACTAACCGTATTTGCTCCCATTGCTAAAAGGCAACCCAATTTATGATTGTTTTAAAAAAAGTAGAACTTTTAACTTTGCACAACTTAATATTCCAGAATAAACCAATTCACCAAGCGGCTATTTATCGACTTAAATATAACAAATGCTTATTCGAATGGAAACTAATATTTCATAGAATCAGACAGATGAATGTTATAGGACAGTGACAATTATTCTGCCTCACATATTCTCAAGTCAGTTAGCCATTATAAATGCAGGACCTAGGAAATATGCCATATTAATTTAGGCCCACGAGATTTTCAGTCGTTTTCAGTCATCATTTCTAAGCTTTTAAGCACTATTACCATAGTTATTTTGAAATGCATGTAAAAACTTTGCAAGCCGGAACTAACCTGGGAGGGTAACTCTGTTGTTTCTGTCAAATTAAAATTACCATTCATCGGACCATTGGTAAACTTTCTGTGTATGAAGTGAGGATTTTTATATTCTTTCCAAATTAAGTGTAGTGTTTTGTTTCAGCTGAAAAATAGAGTATAAACAATACTTCAGACATAAAACATTCAACAGTGCCTAAACACGACTTAGGCAACTAATCAAAAGCTTCATGGACTTATTTTAAGTTTCGTTTTAACTGCCTCTAACTTTCTTCTAACCAGTATTTTGCCAGTAAACATCCTTCGTCAAAGAAGATGGTTTTTGGACATATATAAGACCATTTCTACATCATAACTGATGGAGATTCATGACCTTATTAACCGATTTAGATCTTCTGTTCAGTACTCTGTGGCTAGTCACAATATCACTCTCTCCATCTTGACTATTCTATCTAGTACCAGCAGTGAACCAAACACATCTAAAGCTTATAAATGCTTTCTCCTTTCACAAACCGTATTTTACTATCATAGGTTGATAAAAAGCAGACTACTGTGCAGTACACACACATTCGAGCTGACTGGCAGACACCTGGTAAGTGATGCACGTTCGAAAAGAACAACCGACACTCCTGGATTAGTGACGATATTTTGTTAAACACGAAACCACCAAACTTTAAAAACAAATTCAGTGGGCGAATTGTCCTATTGCTTTACTCCACATCACTAGTTTAAGCGCTAAACAGACCAGTTCTAGAGAAAAAGCTTGCATTCAGAACTGAGGAAATACTCTTCAAGCATGCTTGGAGGGCTACTCAGCTTAAAAAAAAGGCTACAACTCCTCAGCTTATTCAAGAAACAGTGAAATGTCATCCGAATATTCTAAAACGGTTATTGAAACTTCTGGTAGAAACTTGAAGAATGAGAAATTGTAAATTCTTGTCCTAATGTTCAGACCATCAATGACTCTAAAATGCAGACCAACTGTATCTGAATAATTGCGCTCTGATCAAAAGATAAATATATCCGCCAAATTAATTAATGACTAGTGTGAGTTTCTAAAAGTCTCTGTGGAGTTCTCTTTCGTACAAATTCTAAATAACTAGTTATTTAGTAGACGCTCAGCATGAGTTTCAAGTTCCGTTACAACTCATATGATAAAAATCTTTTCCGTTAAATCTTCGCGGTGCCTTGCAAATCGATTCCCGCCTTCTTTTGTGCCTGTAAACCCTTGTATGTTTCCTCCTTTTTGTCTCACTGACGCCCTACTGGTAGTGTCCTTACATTAGCATCATCCAACTCTATGTTAAATAGAATATCTTAGATTATGGATTTTATAACAAAATTCAAAACCTGTAATTGGGAGGCTTTTGGTGTTTCATGTCTCTTTAAATAACAGTGAGAATAGTTTTATAATGCCATAGTCAGAAATCGACTCACTGGAACGTCAAGTATTTTATTCTTGGCTACGCGTGCATGAAATATCTAGAAAACTAAAGATTACTCAAATTTTAACCACATTTTAGCTTCAAAAAGGCACCTTAATACCTGAGCTGAAACGCATGCTTCATAATTTTCACTAAACTGATAACAAGATATAAAAATAAACAACATTTGCAACTAAACAAATGCGTCTTTCAACTAAGGATTCTTTTCAAAGTAAAGAGTTGTTTAAAAACTTTTCGCAGTCACCAAGAATACTTATTAAACGGTTTTCACCATTATTTTTGTTGAAATCGTATTTTGTACACTTGTCTACGACATAGAATACTGACTTAGCTACAGATTAGCGAAACCTTATCATGATATTCGTGCACAATTCGGTTATCGTGGCAGAAGCTTTCGCTAAGTTTAAGGTTATGCAATAATGACAAAAACAAGCCAAAAGTGTCGAACCTGTCACAATGCAAACGCGGATTACGAAAAATATTTTAAAAGGCAACAAAATAATACAAGTCTCAATTTGATGGTTAAAACAAGCACAGGACTTAAGACATACAAATGAA